TATAACAATATTAAAATTTCTATTATTGAAAAATTACATCATTTACTTACGGTATGTTAATAATAAATTGATCAACTAGGGAAATTTTGTATTTATACTAAATATTATCGTTAAACTTATGATCTATGTATTCATATCTAGATGATACTTTTTACTTATTCGATGATTTGAAAAAAAAAGCTTAATTATTAACTGTTTCAAATAAATAGCGTCTTAGAATAAGATGGATTTCAAAATAGATTTTTTTAAAATTAATAACGAAACATTTAAGATGATTTAAAGCCTAATATAAGGTTTCTGATTTGTAAAACAAAATTTTAATAATAAATCAATATCAAAATATTTAAATTACTTATAATGTTGTATAATTGATTATATAAAAAATTATAAGAATTAAATGCACCACAGGCCGAAAAAAAATAAACCACCCTGAATAACTTTTGATCTAATGATCGGATCTTCATATTCTGGGGCTCAATCTCAATGGTTCGAGAGGGTGACCTCAAATATGCTTATAAATAAATGCAGACGATATATTAAATTAAGAATTCAGACACAAAAGCACCCTTTCTCTGAATAAATATATCTTTTTTTTGACGAATTTGGATTTCTGACCCCCAAAATATAAAAACAAAAAACAGACAGCCCTGAATAATTTTTGTTCTACTGATCGGATCTTCACAATCTTGGACTCAATCTTAATGTTTCGAGAAGGTGACTTTAAATGAGCTAATTAATAAATGCAGACGATACATTAAGTTGCAAAACTAGACACAAAAATGCACTTTCTCTGAATAGACATACTCTTTTTATCGACGAATTTGAATTCCTGACCCCCAAAATATCGGAGGCAGAAGGCATGAAGTTCTAGAATATAAAGATCCGATCTCTGGATCAAAAGTTATTCAGGGTAGTTCTTTTTTGAAGAAGAAGCGTAGACGCGTATGTTGCGTAACATTAAAAGTGGTTGGAAGTTATTAAAAATTTAGCTGCTAAATTGTACAAAAAGAGGGTTAATAAGGAATTTAAACCCTTTTCAAACCCATTTTTAATGTTATATACACCTCACAATATACTTTAAACTAGAAAAAGGTCCATTCAAATGTTTTAGTAGCGACTATTTCCACTTGTTAAGAACGCTGTTCTTAGGCACTGGTAAATTATCGAAGTTATAATCTGTATAATTGAGGTCTGGATATCTGGCTTATCAATCCATCCAGTTATTATCTTCACCTTTCAGAAAATCGTCAACAAAATGAAGTCTATGTGTCTGCTCATCGTATTCTATTAAAATGAATGTAAGGCTAGCTTCAATCTTAAAAAGAAAAACAAAAACTCCAAGATCTTATTCTCATATTTACAACAATCTAAGTGCCTCTTCTTAAGACATAGAGGGACGTGCGGTCATTCAACATGATATCGTCAAACTGCAGTTTCCACAAAGTTCTATTTTCTGAATATTGAATAGGGTAGGTATTCGGTTATTAACTCTTCCAATAAAACATTATGAACCAAGGGTGCACTTCCTGCTACTACCATTTAATGCCCGAAGGACAAGTTTTCCTTGAGAACGTTATCCGTGACGCTGTTACTTACACCGAGCACGCCAAGAGGAAGACCGTCACTGCCATGGACGTAGTGTACGCTCTGAAACGTCAAGGACGTACTTTGTACTGTTTTGGAAATTAAATTTCTTTTTTGGCCACCCGCCCTGTTCAAACATCTCATCCCCTTTAGAAAAAACAAATATTCATAGCATTTTTTTGGCCACCCACCCTGTTCCAACGTCTGTTTCCCGTGTTATAATTTTCTTTCTAAAAAAAAAGAAAAAAAGAAAGAAAAAAAAGGGCTTTTTTAAAAGTCAACAAATGCTTATAACATTTACAATTATTAAATTACGCACCAATTTCACGCGTCTAGCCTTGAAGGCTTTGGCAGGACATGTCTCCAATGTCCTGCAACACGTCCAAAGTCTTGCGGCTAATCTGACCATGGGGATAAGTTATCGGCTTGCTTAGGCATGCAATTGGTCGCAATTTCATCACAATGCTCTACAACGCATGGCACGAGATCTCCGATTCATCGAAGATAAGTAGAAGATCTTCTTCAATGTGCATTCTCCGGATGGATTGATCAGCAAGATCTCTAGACCTGATATGTATTGATTATGTCAGGGATGCCCTGGGAAAGGCAGTAAAAACTGGCGATTTTCTTGTTGCCCAATACTTCAGATCCTAAAAAGAGTGTTTTCTAAACTACGAATGAGGTCAGTCGCCACAAAAAATATTTCATTTTCAGAATGAATTCATACTTTGCAGCCTGTACAACTAAAACGGCACCTCTTATTATACAAGTTTTCTATTCGATTATGTAACCACTGCTTCATGATTTTCGACTATTAAAAGTGTTACGCAAGATTATGAGTTTGATTTAAATAGTTCTTATTATTTTGTAATATAATCTACGCTCAAGCAAATTTTTCTTCAAGTCTGTTAAACAGTTGTAGAGGTGTTTGAAATCTGAAAATTTTCTTAATTTGAAGGTCAGTGTTGTTTATTCTTAGTGCAATTCTTTAGAAAATAAGAGCAAGTTCAAATCTGCAGGTATAAAAGTGCTGGTGGTTTTAAAACGCCAAACAAGATATAAGAAAAAAAAGGAAGAATATCAAGACGAGAATTAGTTGTGGAAAATCCCCAACATTCTCAAAGTTTCACCCTTCGTTATGTTTTCCAAAAATGAACGAAAGAACAGTGACTTTAAAAAATCACGAATATACTTTTTTCTGGTTCTCTTATTTTATTGCAAATTTACCAATGTGTAATTAGATAGTTTAATTAATAAATCATTGCTTAACAGGAATGTGAAGAAGTATATTTAATATGACTCAGTTTACTTTCCAGTATCATGGATCAATAACTTTAAAAGCTATACATAAAAAAACGAAGTGAGTGGAAAAATACATAATCATACATAAAAAATACATACTTTATAGTATGAAATATTTTAGGCGAAAAATTAACTTGAATTATTACTATAATTTATTTTACTACTATACTTTACTATAAGAAAATTACTATAATTTATTTCATTTTCGCTTTTTTTTATCTTTAAACTGCGACTAAACTTAATTATCTTTAAATAAGAATAAGCATTTTTGATATATAAACTACGATGAAAAATACAGATAAAATTAAGTTTTGAATAAACCGTTTCAATTATAACTTAAAAATATTCTTCTTTTTAAATCATACTTTAAATTAAATAAAAAATAAGATAGAATAAATATTTGCAAGCATTAATTAATTGTTATTCAGTGCTATTTATTGCTCATTTTTAATTAATAATAATAATAATATATAAAATTGATTTAATGTAATCTATACACAGTTTATATAGCATAAGAAGTACTAAAACAGGAGTGGGATAAAAGTATAATTGAAGTAGACTAATAATATCCTTGGTAACATTAATCAAGTGTGACTTATATATTTTTTCATGCTCATATTATCACATTTCAAATTACTATATTAGAAAATTAATGTGTTTTCAACTTTCATAAAAAGGCATCTTAAAATTATAATTAAAAGATAAAGAGATAGTTGAGAAAGTATTTTAAAAGAACTTTTCTTTCACTAAAAGTTAAATAGTAGAAAATATTAATAAATATAACTTCATGTCGTTTCTAATAACACTTCTCTGCACTGACATTTCCTCATTTTTGTTTAATGATTGAAACAATTATGTAAACAAAACTAAAAATCATGTATACTCGTATTATATGGAATCAATGGTATCTTGAATAAATAGTCTTTCATAGTTTTGTTAATATTTTTAGAAAAATTCCAACTCATCGTGACATTTGTTGAAAAAAATCTAAAGCATAGATTTTAATTTTACATTTAAAATTCTCTTTTAAACCACAATTGAACTTATAAGATTCAACTTTATATACCAACAACTTTTGACTAATATATCAGTGATTTAATTTTTTAAATAAAAGAATTTAAAAACAGTATCTCTGAAAAAGTTTTTAAAATTATTTTTTCCCCAATTGAATCATTTTAATGGCCTTAACAGTTTCTAAGTATTTGAAACAATTAACGAAAGAACTTTCCAAAATCATTTACTTTAAAAATTTATGTAACTTATTATCACTATATTATAAATCAGTTCAGCTGGTAAATATACATATGTTATATTGTAAATCATTACTTTAAAAAATACGAAAAAAATGCATTTATTTCTTATTGAAGCGTTTTGTTTTTCTTTATTTAAAACAAAGCTTCTATTGATTTTTTTATTTATAAAATCATTAACAAAATTTTAAAATATTTACTAGATAAAAATTCATTATAACCACATGCACGCACACACACACACAAAATGGCAAAACGAAATACACTTTTTAAAAAATATGTACTAACTAGTTTTGGTTAAAAAAGATGAAAGTTTTGAGCTACTATATATTATAAAGTTTTTTTCCATTTATGAAATACTACTGACATAGAGTTTTTTTAGAGTCATTTATAAAATTAAAAACGTTTTTGAGAAAAACAATTCATTATAAAAACTGGAAAACTGACAAAACAAAATACACATTTTAAAAAATTATGTACTCACTAGTTTCGGATAAAAGAAGAAAAATTTGATCTATATATTGCAACATTTTTTTCCTATATATTGAAAAAGAATTTCTTTTAATTTAAGGAATCATTAGAAAAATTAAAAACATTTTTAAGGAAAAAAAATTCTTTATAAATGCAAAAATCTCACAAAACGAAATACACATTTAAAAAAAATGTGTACTCACTGGTTTTGGATAAATGGCGAAAGTTTTGAACTATATGGTACAATTGTGTTCTTTTAATATAAAATAAGACTTACTTTTAATTTATGGAGCGATTCACAAAATTAAAACATTTGTAAGAAACAAAACTCATTCTAAACACAAAAAAAAACAGATAAAACAAAGCACACATTTAAAAAAAACATGTACTCACTGGTTTTGGAATAGAAGAGGAAAGTTTTGAGCTTCTTTTAGAGGATGAAATGAGAAGTGAGCGCGGAAAACGAAATGTTTCCAAGAGAACGTCCGGCAAAGGAAAAGGCGGGTCTAGAATTAAGTCCTGCTCTTTGTAGTGAGGCAACAGGCTGTCTGGACTAGCATTCCGGACTCTTGAGGACTTCGCTCAAAACGTATCTCGAACGGGATTGGTCGGGACATAAATCACGTGGGTGGCTTGAGTGCGTGCGCATTGTCAGGTAACTAAGCAGCTTTCCATTCATTAAAATATGATACCTTGGATATGTGTTTATTACTAATTAAGTTATATGTGGACTGATTGTAGGTGGTAAAATAATAAAACATAGCCTCATATCACAAATTACAAGATCTAAATATATCATCGAAATCACATTGGGCAATCTCTGTCCCGATTTGGGATACTATACAAAAATGTATATGATTATGATCAACATTGCTATTTGAGATTGGTAAATGTTTCAATAAATAGGGACTATTTTGAGCTTTTCGCCAATCTTGATATTTTTTTAAGCCTAAAAGCAAATTTATACAGAACTGTTTCCTGAGAAACACTAGAGCATATCACAAGAAATCTTTTTTTTCCTCATAGAATTTCAAAATTTTAAGTTGGCAAATAACAAAAGTTACATATTTATAATTTTTTTTAATCAAATTTTTAAAAAAATTAATCTCTCGGAAGGGGAAAAATTTCATTATTTTTGATTAAAAATGTAACATTTAAACAATTTTTAGTGAACATTAAATCTAAAACAAATTTTAGTTTTCAAGTTAAGAAATATTGTATTCAGAATGCAACATAATGGTTGAAAAAACATATGTATATAAAATTTAACAATAAAATCTCTTATAACAGATTACTGAAATTTTCATTTACAAATACTTTCATTTTCAAGTTTTACCTTAATTTTTAGGCTAGGTTGTCATGAAGATTCTTTGTAATATTAAAAACTACATGTAAATTCCGAGAAACCTAAATGTTATCTAATTTCTTAAAAAATGTAAGCTTTTATGATACAATTTCTTAAGACGCTTGATTATATGTGGGCTGTGTTCATATCTCCAACATTCACTTACCCGAAAAATCACATGGCCGACAGGTCACATTTCCAAATTCATCACTTTGCCGACAACTCACATGGCCGACACGATCACTTTGCTGACAGCTCATTTCCCTGATATAAACGATTTCGCTGACACGATCACTTCACTGAGAATATTTTACGTCAGGACGTTGGTCACTGTGAGCAGGGTAAGGAATTTCTATTGACCTTTGAAGACCGCTACAAAACACCAAACCATTATTGATGTCAGTTATGCTTAGTTAAATTTGGTATTTAATACTTCTGGTATAGCCGTCATAAGTACTGTGGAAATGAGAATCTATTTTCTCGAAGTGCATAACATGGGTACTGCTGTAATAGATTTCTTATCACCCTCCAAAATGGCTAAGTGCCCAAATATCACCATCCTACACATTCACGGTAGCTGATGTACAACCTTTATTTTTTTATTTGCTGTATGTTCCGGTGGGACTTCATGCTATTAGATTTACCATAATCTGAAGTAGAAGTCCAACTCACTAAAAGAAAGATTAACTAAGCAATTCCATTTCATTAGTTCTTGTGGAGTTTCAATTATTTAAGTATATAGAAACGCAATTTCAAATCGTATATGCCACTATAATAATTGTGCGGTTTCACATTCCTTATAAAATACCAATTTGGTGCCATCATTAACATACGTTGAGTAATTATTAGCGTTGATTTTATTTGTGATAATCAAATAAATTAAACTTCTGATATATTTATTTCTATAAGAATGTGTAATAAAACAAATTTATAATTGATTAGAGTTATATGGTAGAAAATCACTCATATTATAAAATATTTATCAAATCCCATGAAAAATTCTTTCTTCGGGATGTAGCGCACGAACCGGAGATTGGAGGAAGTTATAAAGTAAATAGTTGTATCTGATATGCTTTTGTTCGTATGTGTACAAAATTTAGCGAGGATCGGTACAGTGTTGCGAATTTGTATAAGGAACATATAGACATACATAAAAACAGTCTGATTTATTTAATAGATATAATTTATAACACTATGCAGCAAAGATAAAGAAATAACAGTAACTAGTTCTAAAACAACTACATAAGTAGTTTTTTAAAAAGCTTAATGGAAAGTAAATAAAATAATGAAAAAAATAATTAATGTTCACCAAGTTTGCTTTTGGCAGTCAACAAAATCAAATAAAAAAAAAAACGGTGAAGGAGAAAACAAATAAAATAAAATTAGGAGAATAGTAACACACTACACCGACAAAAATATTTAATCCGAATAAATCCTCATGATGTTGATTGTTCTAGATGGTTTTGCCTGAGTCTCTTAGTTCCTGTGGTTGAAACTTCTGAAATGTATGCGGACAATTCTGGAATAAACTGTTATCCCAACTCTATGAAAATATTTCGAAGTAAATCTATTTCTTTTTCAGCATGACAGCTACTCCATTCACACATCGAGAATCGTGCAACCAAGGTTTGAAGTATGGTTTTTTAAATACAAGACTGAACTTCTTAGAGCTAGTATCGAAATCCCTTTGAAGCTGATTACGTAGTCGGAACACTCGTCCATGGATCACTCATTTCAGTTGTGGTAGCCACTGGAATGTAAATTCCTGTGAAACAAAAACTGTGTCTCACAAAGACGTGTGCAGTCTGTCACTGACGCAAAATGTGAGTCCATCATCATAAAATCCTTAGGGCTCTCCGTAAAATCCTTAGGGCCCTCAGGACTCTCCGAGTACTTTGAATACTTTCGGCAAGATAAGTATCTAATTACAGTGACAACTTCTTTTACCGATTGGAAGTTCTGAATTCCGAAATATTAATTTTCGTGATAAAATAAATATACACTAATTAATCTCAAATGATACACAATGTATCTTCATTTTTGAGAACTACTTAACGATTTTTTAATGCCTAAAATTTGTCAATTTTTAACCAAATAGACAAAGTCGGAAGTTGTTAGTAATATAAATGTTTAAGGATATTTTGTATTCCGATCTGATTCTACAAAGACAGTAAAAAAGCTCACTTTTACTAATACCATGGGAAACAGAAAACGAGGAAGACCACCAATTTGGCGGGTTCACTCGGTGGAGAAGGACTTTCATATCGTAAATAAGGCCTTTAAAAGCCTTGCTGCAGGTAGGACAGAAGGCAAATACTACTTGGGACGTCATTGTCTTGCAACAGACTATAGTGCCCTTAAGGAGGAAGAGTAAAGGTATTCTGAAAAAAATAGTTGTAATGATTCAAAATAGTTTGTATTTCATCAGATTTAAAATAATGTAAGAAGATACTTAAGTTAATACAGTAAAATGATACTTCCTTTTTAAACAAGCAACAGCAGTGTCTTCAGAATTAAAATTTTTATTCGTCAAATGCCGTATTACAAACTATGGGTTCTTAAATTTCTGACTTAAACTTTAAATTATCAATAACCACAATTATTTTTATCAATGTCAAGCTTAATATTCGTGTTATTGTCATCGTGCTAATACAATCATTCAGATTTTTACTATTTGATGCTGATTAGAAATAAGCAAAATTCATAGGTTAATCTTTTTTATTTTGAAGTTAAAAACATAAGTAGGGAAAAATGAGCTTTTCACTTGCTTTAAGGGTGGATGATCTCTTTTAGTGTAGTGCTATGGGATAAGCACTTCCCCCCATTTCGTATCGATGACCTCTCGTCTATAGAATGAGCGCTACACCCACTACACACTCAGTTAATATGGATGACGAAGTATAGTTTGGACTAAGCAAATGCTTCTTAAAAAATTTTGGTATTTATTTTTTCACAACTATGGATATATTTGAAAAATTAGACACTCACGTTTTGGTTTGAGACATGCTTCAAAGGCATTCCTCATTGCAAATAATAGTAAAAAATGCACAAAGTGTCCTCCATTATTTTAATCATATACTATATGCCCTTAACGTCGCCTGGTTTCAATTAAACAAATGTTTAGTTTTTATTTCTTCACATCTATGGGTATTTTTTTTAAATTTTGACGCTTACTTTGTAATTTGAAAAAAGTTTCAAATGAATTTCTCATTGGAATAAGTTTAAAAAAAATTGGCAAATATTCCTTTATTTTTGTATGCATGCCGGTAACGTAGCATTGTTTAGCCTAAAAATTGCTTCTTAGAAATTTTGAGATATTTTCTGACATATACGGGCATTTTTAAAGGAATTGAAGCTCGTTTTTTTGGCCTAATCAAGATCTTCACTGCAAAAAATTATAAAAATTCGCAAATTTTCCTCCTTTTCATCAATTATCCATATTCTCTTAAGCGCATTGGTAGGAGTAAACAAATCCTTCTGAAAACTTTTTATTACTTATTCCTTAACACATATAGGTATTTTTGAAAATTTTGGTGCTCACTTTGTAATCTGAAACAAGTTTAAAATGATTTCCTCATTGCAAAAAATTATAATAAAAAAATCGCAATTTATCCTTTATTTTGTTAACTATATTAACGCATTTAAATATATAACGTAGCATGGTTTGGGCTAAATATATGCTTTTTAAATACTTTGGGTATGTATGTGTCTATGTGTGTCTTCAAAACATTTGACTCTTCCTTTGTAATCTGGAGAAGGTTTCAAATGAATTTCGCGTTTCCAAAAATTACAAGAAATTCGCAAAGTGTACTCTAATATGATTTTAACATGGTAATGTTTAGAGTATACAAATCCTTCCTAAAAATTTTTATCACTTATTTATTGACTTATGACCGGTATTTTTGAAGGAATTGACGCTTGCTTTGTAATTTAAGCAATGGTTCAAATTATTTTCTCATTGCAAAAAATCTTAAAAAATGCGCGACATTTCTTCCTTTAATTTTATACGTAAGCGCATAACGTAATATTGTTTGGGCTAAAAATTGCTTCGTAAATATTTTGAGTATTTATTTCCTCGTACATATGGTTATTTATGAAAAAAATTGAAGCTCACTTTATAATCTGAAACAAGTTTGAAGTTATTTCCTCATCGCAAAATTTTTTTTAAAAAACTCGCAAATCAGCCTTCATTGCTTTAATTAAA